GTCTTTTTTTTAACTTCTAATGATGTCCCTGTCGAATTTACAGATTTTTTTTTTTTTTTTTAAGAAAAATCCTGAAGAATTTGAGCTCAGAGAGAAACTTGAGAAAAACTTGAGAGAAACTCCTGTGCATAAACATCCATCTGTTCCCTTGCATGTTAATCTGAGATACTGGAACCAAAACCCTTCTGGGGGAGTTTGTTTTGCTCTCCCTAGATGTGCCGACATGATGGGCAATTAATCTAGGCAGGATGTTCAGCGAGGACCGGCGGGGCTGTGTCATTCAAACACGCTTTTAAAAAGAACAGGAACCTCTGTGATTACCATACAATGCTGTTGCATTTTGAATTGAGTGGATTTTGGTTAAAAAATGATGAAAGTGCTATGAAATTAGTACCTTGCAAAGCATTGCTCAGCAGACGGCTGATTCCGGCAGGAAATTATTTCAACTTGTTGGTTCGTCTTTCAAATTGGATTTAGAAGACAAGCAGCTGAAGCCACTTGAAAATGGATTTAGGGGCCACTTGAACTTTCTGTCGTGGATGAACCCAATTTTGTTCTACATGACAGCAAACCCTCTGTGGTATTTTACCGGCAACAGAGGCTGCTGTGCTTCTAATCCTGAACACAAAGAAATGGAAAGACCTTAAATAGCTGAGAAGGGAAAATGAACCCATCCAGGGCAAGAAGATCCTTCTTAGAACTGACCTTTCCCCTCTCCTTATAGAACTTTGTTATTTACTTTGCACTAGGAGCAGAGAGTTACTTGCCTCAGAGAGTTCACAAAAACACTGGAAAACAGCCACGAATATTTGGACCCCCAGGTATAAAATCTACTCCCTTGCCCTTTACTAACACTGATAATCATAATAAGTGATCTCTAACTTGCCGTTAAAAATTAAAATAAATGAACTCACTCTCAGCAGCAGGAGAGTAGACTACTACTGCAAGGCTTAGCATGCCAGAGCCAGCTGGGGTGGCTTTAACCCCCTGGTTTTCCCAGGGGGGTGAGGCAGGCAGAGCCCGAGCTGCAGCCAGCCAGCCTGGCAGCACGGCTGCGGTGCAGACGAAGGCATTACTTACTTGGGACCCTGTTAATGGCTCGTAGTGGCCGAAGTACCCGCACAGTGCGGATCGCAGACAAGCTGACGTTGTGTCCATCCAGAGAATACTCCATCATGCTGCGGGGGAAAGAGAAAAGGCGTCAGGACGTGGGATGCTCAGTCTCTGGGCAAGAGCGTGCTGGGGTTGCCCAGGGTTGGGGCTGTCGCTGCCTGTGCACTCTGGGAGCCATAGCCCAGGCTTGCAAAACCACCCGCTCTGTCTTTGCAGCTCATAATGTGCATCATGCTGTCAATGGGGGATATAAGGGATATTGCAGCCTCTAAGAGACTGAAAATACCCACACGAGCAGCGATGGTGCAGGGGTCGGCAGGCAGACGTGCTCCCAGGCTAACAGGCTGCAGACACAGGTAACACATCGGGAAGCAGGACTTGGCATGAGTAGGAGCTGCAAAGTTGGGGCCACAGAAATTGGGGCAGAGGGGGAGCCCCCAACTATCTGCTCAGCTCCTGCAGCCATGCTGCTCTCCCTTTCCATTAGCTTATTGTGCTCCGGCTGGCGGTGCATCCGCAGCCTTCCCAGGGAGATTACTGCACAACTCCATACAGCTCAAAGTCAGTACGATGTTTCTGATATTATACCCCCTACTAGCACCCCAGCGTATTTTCACACAAGTTTATCTCTTCCCCCATGACAAAAATGTGAATAACCAAACCGACAAACGACGTTAAAGTAGTTTGGTTTCCATTTTATTATTAAGAATAGGCAACATTTTCTTTTTCGTGCTCCGTCTCCATTTCACATAAACATTTCTCTCCCAGCCTGGGAAGGACGTTAAGTCAAGTCAGTTTTCTTGCTCTTTTATAGGAATGAGTGGCAAATGTGTGTAGTGTTGTTTTTTTAATGGGGTTATGGCTAGTTAGCATGGCTGTAATTACAATTTATGAGTTTGACTACAGGGAAGCACTTGTAAATACGTCACAAATCTCTCACCATGCCTGTTCAAATAACATAACAGCATCAAAAGCAACCCTGTGAGTAGGCTGTTGGATCCCATGGAGAAAGAGCTTTTGTTTTGGTTTTTTTAAAATAAACAAACAGATATGGAAGGAGGAAGGCAAATATGAGCTGAACTGCTGTAACCAGGCGCTTCAGAAGCTTCAGTGGAAAGAGAGATTTTCAACTGAAGCATCCTGCAGCCAGGACGGACCAAAATCGTTACCATCAAGAAGCAACAGCCAAATGGACTGAAGCAACAGCTGAATGGATTTCAGGCAACAGCAGAGGGAGGTTTGGTTTCGGGCCAGCCTTACTCAGGCGCATCATTGCCCATGTGCCTGTGCTCTGCTCTGCTCTGCCGGAGCCTTGCACTTCGTATTTGATGCCTTGCCCTGCTGTACAAAGTTTAATTGGGAATATCTAGATGTTCTGATGTTTGCTTCTCTTTTGTCTTTGTCCTGAAACTGTTTGGCATAACCCCGTGATATCACTGGCATTGCACTGAGGTAACTTTGGCTGGTTAATGTTAATTTGCCGTGCAGAGGCCCTGGTGATCTTGAGCTGTTTTTAGTGATAACCTTCCAGAGATTTTTTTTTTCTGAAGTAGTTAGTGAGTCTTTATAAATCAAAACCACCTTAAAGCTTGTATGTAGGAACTGAGCCGAACATGATGAATAGCTTTAAAACTCAGCACGGCACGAAAACAGGTTTTAAATCTAACGTATGATCATTAAGCAGCCAGAGCAGAGCAGTGGGAAGCAGCCTGGAGCTGCACGAAGGACCACACAGTGGGAAAGCCATCGGAAATGCCCGTTCACACCTGCGTCAAGGGGCCTGGAGCCAGCACCAGGTGTCTGCTCTAAACAGACCTTGCAGGAATAGACAAAGCATTGTTTAAAGCCCCTGAAGTGAACAGTGCCGAAGCCTGAATCTGTTTGCTGGCGTGGTCCCAATACAGCACACTCACAATTTATCGGATGGCTGAGTAAGCAGATTTTAGTGTAACTGGTACAGTTTTTGAACTACTAATAGCATGTAAAAGGAGTATGAAATGCTCCAGTGGGAGATGGTTTGGTACTCCAGAGAGCACATGGAATTATTAGCATGTTAAAGGGCCAGCTCCTGGGGCCTCGTTTTTACTTGGCCCTTGGAGTTTCAACAGGGCTGATAAAAGATGAATAATCCAGGGTTTGGCCTAGGAAACAGACTTTCTGACCCTGATACTTTAGACTTCCATGATACTCCATTTAGGATTTGAAACTAAGTCTCTGGTGGATCTACATTGCCCACTGAAGCCAACCTGAAACACTTGATGGATTCCGGGCTGGACCTTCTACAAGCAGGGAAAACATTTGAAACCTTCATGAAAAAGTCAAAGGTTTCTTTGTCAAGGCCAATCTTGGGGTCCTGTTCTCATATCACACTTGTAAACCAAGAATACCCTGGAAGTGCCTGACAGAAACCTGCTGGAGCTGGAGATTTTGGGTATGCAGGGACCGGAGGTCTGGGTGGACAGGCACTGGGTAGGCGATTCCCTACAGCCTCTGGCTACTGAAAAAGAGGAGGCACAAGCCTTTGCGATGTCTTCTACCATGAACAGTTTCCAGTCCTTCAGCTGTCAAGTTAAAGATGTCCCAAGCATATTATATGAGCCTGCAACGTCTCCAGGGACTGGATGTACAAGAAACCTCTCTGGTTTCACCTCTTGTGGACAACATTTCTGATGCTTGGGAAATGCTTTCAACTTGGCTGCTGGAAAGACTGAAAGGTTGTAAGCTCCATTCGGTCTGAAACTTTCCAGGGTACATTTCTCAGGCGAGCAAAACATGAAAGGGCTTCCAGTGCTGGAACAAACTTCAGACACAATCTGTTGCTAGCGGCAGAAGATATGTTTATTTTGTAGTTTCCCTGCTTACCCTCCGCTGTCTTTGGTATACTTGCTAGTAAGCCAAATTGGCTTATTTGAGGAGACCGAACGGGACAAACAAAGCAGGCAGCGCTGCCTATCACTTGTTTCCCTTCTTATCAGAAAAAGCCTCATAATAACTTCATCGCATCCATCCACTTGCTGGAAAAAGCAACTCTTGTTATTCCAGTAGCGTGCTCCCTGCTAAAACCACCTCCAGTTTTAGGAGCAGACACTGGGTTGAACGGTGGTGGTGGGAGAGGTGAAGAACCCCAGCCCACCGCACAGCTTATCCTTGCCCTCCACCAGCGTTACCGGCCAGGCCTGCTCCCAGACCAGCCCCTCTTCTGAGAGACGGGAAATAATGTCACAGGTATGGCTCAAATACACCAAAACCATCTGGAGATGGCCCAGGATCAGCCAGAGAAGGGGCTGTTCCTCTTCTCATCTTCAGCCTGAGTAACGCCAGACTGGCAGCAGGGCTTCCCGTCGGGGTCTCCTGGTGCTTCTGCTGTTTTCATTCTTCTCAAATATAAGCCAGCCACAGAGGGTGGGGAAATGCCCTGGAAAACTACCAAATTGACTCACTGGCCACCTTCCCCTTGTCCCAGGTGCTACGTGAACAAAGATCCTGGCGCCAAATCTGGCTCTGAGGTAGGAGCAGAGGGCTCAGCCTTTCTGCCTGCATGTGCTATTTTATTCTCGTGCTTCACTGAGATGATCTGCTTGATGATGTGGGGAACCTCTGCACGCCCATCAGGAGAGCTTATCCTGCAGGCTGAGGGAACAGTGGGGAAACGCTGTCGGCACATTGGTTATGGATGGCAGATTTCTCATCCCGAGTTCCCCCTGCAACCACAGCCTTGCTCTTCCCCTACTACTTCTGGCTTAAACGCTGCACCAGCTTTGGAAAGAAAAAATAATTAACTGCTTCTTTTGTTGTCCCTGCTGTTCTTTTGTGGGCTGTAACCGCACACGGGTTCAAAGGAAGCTCTGCGCAGGAGAGCTCATGTTTTATTCAAACCAGTAAGGCCATTCCTAATTGTATTCCAGACAAATAACATGGAGCAAAACAAAACTCCATTAGTGCAGTAAAGATTGTACATCACTAATGTAAGGGTAAAAATGCCCCAACATATTACAGGAATGTTCTAATTAACCCCAGGCTGGTCATTATAAACCCAGGAATTCAGAAATAAGGCAGAGCTCTGTAATTAAAGCAGTCTATCCCTTTCTAGGGTATGCTAAGCAGGTAAGAGAGCCTGGGGTTTCTAAAATCCATTTATTTATAGAAGAAAGTTTTAGACTTGCCAAGCTTTCAGTCCACTCAGTTCTTCTCTATGGGTGTGAGGGAACTGGTGTCAAAAGCACCCAGATCTTCCTTATATCTGTTTATTAACACATGCTGCAGAAATAAGCAGCTGTGGGAGACAGTACTAAAATGTAAACCAAAAGAAGTTTACAGGAGGCATTTGCATGCACTTGTAATTTGGGTCAACTTCTGGCCAGCTTCTTCCACTGGGATTTCAACCTTCTGAATGAGATTTTTGAGCTAGATTCTCCTTGTTTGGCCAATTTCTGCCTCTCTGCCTCACTCTAATGGTGTCACATAGCAGGAGTGGGGCTGAGCTGCTGTGTGCTTTTTCCACCCATTCTGGAGACAGCAGTCTTAACCGCGAGCACTGGGACATACTGGCCATCGCAAGGACTAGATCAGCGTGCACTTGATTTGACAGAGATGACACTGGCAAAAGGGCTGCTACTGAAAACCCGATGGCTTTTGCCCTGACATTCATACCCCACCCCATAATCCGGTGTGGTTGCCAGAGGTGAAACCAAATGAGACTTATGAGACTTTGCCTTGGCTTGAACCTGGCAGATTTCACAAGAGATTATGAAAACCAGCCAGGACAACCTACAGATTTGGCTCTCTGGGGTTTTGCTTTCACCGTGAAGAGCAAATTTATGAGGTTTTGTTACTGACCCCGCCATCACGATGAAGAAGTCCAGGCGATTCCACGTATCTCCAAGGTAACACTTCTGCCCGAAGATCCCCAGAGCCACCATCTTGATGACCATCTCCACCGCAAAGAAAGCGAAAATGAAGTCGTCAAATGCCTGGAGACCAGTAAAAGATTATTACAGTCAGTTCTGCTGTGCTTTCTTATCAGGGAAAGGGAAAGCAGAGACATGAGCACTCCCACCAGAGGCACTCTGTATACCCTGGCAGACACTGCAAGGCAAAGCACTGGTACCAAAGTGCCACCTACCGAACTCAGAAATAAAACCTGCAATACCTGATGGGTGATGGCAACCCCTGAGCACAGCTCCTGGGTCAGCCCACTGCCGGGGAAGCATTAGCAGCTTCTATTAATCTACTGACAAAGATACAAGGACATTGTTGCTGTACAGGCTGGATACGTTTATTGGCATTTAAAGCCTATGCATTCAACAGCAGCTTGTGGTTGGGTACAGGAGGTCTCAACTTGCAGTGGAAGCTGCATTTCCAGACTGGGCAGCTCATACCTCCTAGAAAGAATTTGTCCCATCTAACACAGGGCGATGTGCTTCACCTCTGATGCCTTCATGGACTCCTACTCTCAGACCCAGACACAGCTGGCAGTGAATGTGCACATGAAGCAGAGGCTGAAGCAGTAACTACAAGGGCAGTTCTGCTGCATGTGAGGAATGACTGGAGCAGTTCCTCGTGGTGCAGAGGTTCAGGGCATCCTGCTGGCAAGCCTGCGTGCCCAAGTGCAGGAGCCTCTTGATGAAGGTCAAAATTTTGGGTTTTAGATTACTGTGAAAACGAGAAAATAAAGATGCGCAAATTAATCCAGTGCTGCCCTATAGAACATGGCTCAGCCTTTACACAAAGAATGACTTCTGTAGGGTAGCAGGGACTTGGACAGCTGTGATTTCTCCAGCCTTCCTGAAGACTACATGTACATGCATGAAATGTACATGTATTTGAAAAGACCATGAAATGGCCTCTGTTGTAAATACTCTTCTACATGTTGCCTGTGAAGTGGAACATCAGGAGATACAGATTGCTTTTAAATCACATGTAGAGGCTTTGTTGTTTTGAATAACAGACTTGATAAAGCACAGGAACTTCTTAATCTACAGACATGACTGCTGCTGTCCAAACCAGCTTGTTTGGTCCAAACCATACTGTTTGGTATTGTGTCTCTGGCACTTTCAATTTGAGGTGAGTGAATTAACAGTAAAATTAACAGAGCATCCACATGGCAGCCAAGTTCCCACTGCGCATCCCTGTATCTCTGCGTGGCTGTGTGTGAGCACCATCTTCTCTGGCTGTTGGCTTTATCAACCAACCTTTCCCTCGATAAACTACACCGAAGTTTTGCTCCATTATTTCAGTTCATTTAATAACTGGCATCCAAATGCCTCCATAAAGGAGTTCAGGCTTTTCTACCACATGTTCTCGCTTCCACTCCCTCCTGCAAGCTGTGACAAGGTGAGGGATAACGGTGACTTTACTTGCAGCCCTTTTCTGCCCACAAACCCTTCAGAATAACACTTCGGGTTTCGCAAATATATATTGTAATCATTAAGCCGGTATTAGAAACCAATTCAGTGCCTGGGGTCCTCGCAGACACATGAGTGTCTATTCTGAGGAGAACAGACCATGCAAGCCATGTGTTTGCAACCTGATTAAATTATGAAAAAAAGGAAGCAAATAAGGAGCATTCAATAATGTCACCTCCTCATCCAGGCAGGATTCCTTTTGTCTGCCTGGACATTTTGGCAGGGATGGGCATCCTCTAAACAAAGTCCCATGTGGGTGAATACATGCAGAAGAACGGCGGGCACGTGGAGGGTAGCCTTTCAGGAGAGACTGGACACTTTCTGATGGGCTCTCTGGGGGCAGCTTAGCCCACAGCTGCCTGCAGAGTGACATTTTCTGGTTCCACCTCTGAATGCCGCTTCACATCCAACCCTGAGCCTGACCCTCTGAGATGATCCCTATACTACATGCCTCTGGTGGCAACAGTTTCTCCAAAATTGATCTCATTCCATAACAAACCTCTAGTGACTTCTCAATTCATCTGGTTTACTTGGCTCTGCATTTAACAGATCCTCTTTTAAGGCTGAAAGAGGGTTTGATGATAAACTCTGCTATTCCTGCCATCTGCAGGCAGTTCTGGACCAATCTTTGAAAGAGGCAGGAGAGGCTGGTTGGAAAGATCCCACTGGCCTTCCTGTACAGCTGAAACACCCAAAGGGAATTAAAGCAGCAGATCTGTGCGGGATTCAAATGAACCAAGCCCGTTACATTACCACATGTTGGTAGTCCCTGCCTAGGTTGATGTAATTCATTAGAAACAACAAAAGTTGGTTTCAAGCCTGAGAACTGAGTTGCTGCAGGAAGCCCAGTGCCAAGGTGCAGCCCACACACCAGATGCTGCCAGGATGTGCTTCCAAAATGAATCCTGTGGGCATATGGCAGTGAGGGGATTGCCAGAACACAGCGAGGGATGAAGTGATAAGCATGATGCCCCACTAAGCTTGGGGTGGCCAACAAACAAGGTTTTGTGAGCTTTGTGCGTGTATGCATTTCCCAAAGGTCAGTTATCCTGGCACCTGGCAGTGCTGCACTTCAGCTGGTGGGCTCCACTGCGGAGGAGAGCAGGCATGGACCTGTCCCATGTTTTTTTGTTTATGAAGAACGGAATGAAATGGCAAAGTCATTGGTGCCATATAGCACAGACCAGACTGCAGCAATCCAAGAGATGCCGGCAGTGACCTGGCTGGGGTGGAATCGACAGACTGCAAGCAAATGGTTCCCTGCAGCATTGGCCATCCTGTAATTAGAAAGTGTTCAACCCCTCCAGCGGGAGCTGGATGCCCAGTTTTGAGCCCCCCTACTCTCATTAATTGTGTAGAGAAAGGATCTTGCTGGGGTAAGTCCAAATCAGTCAGCCTTTGGGTCTCACCTAGGGCCATGGCAGGAGGTCTCCTCGGAGGACAGACTTAGCATGCCGAAGTATGGCTTATTGGAAAAACCATCCCTATGGGAAGGGCGTTCATGGCTGGATCCTGGGGAAAAGGGACAAGATGGGTGTCCCAGCTCCCAGGATGGGCACCCCCCTGCAACCCCCATGTCCCAGGCAAGCGAGGCAGCATGGGATCCTTACCTCCAGGATGGTGCACCGCTCCGACTGGCACTCCACGTCCTCGCAGGGCTGGAACATGCCCAGGGTGACACAATTCAGGAGGATGACCAGCATGCTGACGTGCTCGAACCAGGTGAGAGCAAGGCGTTAAGGAGACCACACGCTTCAGCGGCCCTTGGGAGGGGGGAAACTGAAGCACCACACTATTTACATGTCAAAAAGCCTTCACTCCTCCCGCAAGCACAAAGAAAACACTGCCAAACATCCCAGATTTGAGGTTTTTTGGCAACTGAGGAGAGGGTCTTAGAAAGTGTACACCTGTTGAGATGAAGGGACAAAGGATGCCTTTCATTTCCTACACAGCAGCAAATCAGAGAAGCACAACCAGGCCCATGGCTACGCTTTCCATCTCAAGTCCACATCGCCATCCTCTTCTGTACTTCATGCATGCCCAGGGGCAGCTGAGAGCACAACCCTCTGTCCTCCTCCCACAGCAAGGTTCATCTCCAGATCTCAAAGGGTTTTACCAGTGAATCACCTCTCATGTCCACTAGCATTAACTCTTTCATTACCAAGCTAAAGAAAGCAAGACAAAGAAAGATGAATTAATTCAGGCACCACCAGAAACCTGGCTTGCGCCCAGTTCCTTGCTCCAGCCAGTAAGGTTGCTCTCCTTGTTTCCATCTCGAGTCATGGGAATGGCTGCTGAACGCAGGCTATCTTCGTCCTACCCAGTTTCTAAGTCTCAAGGAGCTACAGAGACCATTTCGAGCTCTACATCATGACCAAGGATGACGGCAAAACAAAGTCAAGCCAGTGGCACAAGTTGGTAGGGCCAAGGATGGCGGCATGTTGGGATACGGGATGTAAACCAGGACCCAGGGTGCACAGTACAGGCTTCGAAAGGGATGGAAAGAGCTCAAGCTTGGCTCCAGTCACCAAGAAAAAGACCATGTTCTCTTACAGGACCCACCAGTGCTCAACTGCACTAACATTAATAGTTTCAAAATAGTACGTGGTGATTTGCATCAGAGCAAAATAGGCCCAGAGCTTATGATGACTGCTGCTGGTATGACTATTAAAAATAATAAAAAAGATGTGGGGGAACTAAACAGGAGTTTCACAAATTAAGCATGAATGAGAGAACTGTTCTTAGGAAAATAATTGGAAACATCTGTGTATGAATAAACCTTTATGCTTTCAAACACACAAGCGTATGTGAGCAAGGGATCATGCAGAAAGAAGCACATGGACATTGTCTTATTCCCCATAACAACAATTCTCCTGCTCTGGAAACCTGAACAAAAATACCTACCATATTTATCCCTGCTGCTTTTAGAAGTATTTTATCTGGCTTTTTAGCAGTTCAGCATAAGATTTATCGCAGCATAAGATTAGGCAAATGCAGGGCTGCAGTCTCAAACTACTTTTGCACACATGTTCTCATTTATCCAGATTACAAGAAAAAAGATATATCAGTAGGGTCAGGTCCTGCAGCTTCCCTAAAACCTGAACCCAAACCACTTCTTGCTTTAGAGAGGGCTTTATTTTGAAAATTCAGAGCTAGGAACACCTTGGAGCCCATGCTGGGGACCAAACATGTCAGACTGGGAAACCCACTTGTCTCAAATGGAAATGTATGAAATCAAATAAACAAATGAAATAAAAATCCAGGTCACCTCATCAGTGATGCAGAAGGAGCTGGAGCAGGCGAAGCTCCAGGCCACAGCCCCAGAGGACTTGTGCATCACTGAAATACTGACATTGTTTTATCTTAATTTCTCCCTCCCTCCAATGACTTCTTTCTGATTTTTGACATCTTTAGGGGCTCTTTGGATCCCCTTCCCTTTTTCCTAATTAGAAGCAGAGTGGTAATCCTGCTCCATAGAGAAAACAGCCCACATCAGACCCAAACAAAGCCCAACCCGTGGCCACATCCTACTTACAATATTTGCATTGCTTGATGGGATTCACGTGGAACTCCCTGTAAACACGGCTCCTGCGCTATTCCCAAGGTGCCTGCAGTTGCATTCATTTCCTTTATTATACTTGGAGATTTTTTTTTTCCTTTAAAGTAAAAAAATAAAAGCATGTGGACTTTAAGCTGTTAAAAAAAAAAAAAAATAACTGTGCTGATGAATTAGGTCTCCTGCTTCCCCCGGAGGATGGGAGCACACTGGCCCTGTACCTGGTTGCTCCAACCTTGCTCTTCCATCCTGCCCTGGGACACCAACCCTGGGCTCGTGCCGGCTCCATCCCCTGCTGCTCCAGCAATGCAGAAACATACAACCTAGGCTTCTCCCTGCCACAGGAGTGGCAAGGCTTTTGAGTCCAGCATCCACCAAGGGTTACTGGTTGCGTTACTGTTCTCCATCCTGTTCTCCACTGCCTGAGCCCTTGTTTCTAGCAGAACCGATCAAGAATTAGATTTTGTTTTCCATTAGAAAACTGATTTGTAAAAAGCGAATCATTGGTGTGGACTAGTTTTGATGTCAACATTCAATTAAGACAGACTTTTTTGCACAAAATGTGGAAGAGTATGTTCCCAGCAAGGCAGAGGCACAGCCCTTTGCTGAAGGGAGACCTCAGGAGCATGGGAAACCCTGATGGATGCTGGGGTCTCCCACACCCTCGGCTCTTCTGGCTTCTGGGCCGGTGACTTTTGCTGCTCAGATCACTCTTATCATGATACAAAATCACAAACATCTCAAAAAGAAAATCTTCTGAGCAGAAAACCTGCCTGCCCTCTGGATCTGGCATCTGCCCCTGATTTTTTATTTCAGTGGAGTGACGGAAGCCTAAGGTGAAGATGTTTGCGTGGTAAAGCCCCTGTTCTGCTGAGCTACCCCGACCTTTGTTCAAGCGCTCTGCTCATCAGATCTCTAAAAAGCTTCTTTCTTACTTTCTTCTAAGTGATCTAATTGTGGTTTTTGTGGTTAAATAATCAGCTGCATGAGAAGAATTGTCACTGGAGTTGAAATGAGTGCCCTGATTCCTTAAAGACAGGCAGAGCCACCACTGTCCCCTGTTCATCTAACACCAAAGCCAAATTTGGTGTCTTTCAAGATGCCAGAAGAGCTGTTTTAATTTTCTAAGAGAAAAAGAAAGGCTCTCCCATAGCTTTGTAGTCACAGACATTTAGAGGCTGTCAGCGTAGTCAGTAAGGGTCAGCGACGGCTGTAGGATGGAAAACGGCAACGCTGCTGCACATAGAAAGACAAGAGACAAAAGAAGCTTGTGCTGCTTTTGAAGAAAAGTCTGAAAAGGTGGAAGAAAATCCACTGTAGGGAACAGTTTTGCTTTGGCTGGACAATGGACTGGAGGAGGGAGGAGGAAGTCCCCGGTCAGGGCTTGGACGTTTCTCAGGGATGCTCCTCTCCTCCCTTGTCCCAGGACCTTTCCTGAGGGGATGTGGCTGGAGGAGTCTGAGCTGAACAGTCCTGTCCCTGCTCAGCCCCTCCAGCCCACCTTCTCCTTTTGTGCCTGCAGCTCCCTCAAAGGCATTAAGCTCCTGCCCTACTTATTTTCACATGAGATAAATGACAGTGAAATCCCTAATTCGAAAGCGGGATTACCCCAAGTGCTCTGCCCTAATGGGACTAATCCTCCCTCTGGCGCATAAGGAAATTTCAGTTCACTCCCCTCTTCCTTGCTCCTGGCTCTGGAGGAGCCCCAAAAGCCATGATTTAATCCCTGGCCGGCTTCTTTTCCAGAGCTCCCCAAAGCCATCTGGCCTTCAGCAGCCACCTGGAGATGCTCCAAGCAAACCCCCGGGCAGTGGGAGGTGACGCTGCTTTGCAGGTTGGGATTATAGAGGGCATCTTTTCACAGCATCCTCCCCATGGAGCCCGGGCAATTCAAAATGCCCAGCAAGAAAGAAAAGTCCCATTCTGATAATGATGGGAAAACACCCAGAAGAGAAAAAGAGAGAGGAAAAGGTGAAAGAAGTCCACAGCAATCTGATGGCACGCTTGTGCCAACACAAATAGCAAGGATGTGGCTGGAGACAGAAGCCCCACGGCACAGAATGGCCTCACGGGTGACCCTGCAGCATTGCCGCACACCCTGCCCGGCTTTTGTGCAACCAGGTCAAGGAAGATGAGGGATGGTAACACCAAACTCAGCCATATGAGGCTCCTGCTTGCACCCCGAGTGGCACCGTCTCTTGCGCTGCTGGAGCTGGGACGGGACTGGCTCCCGGGCCTGCTAAAACCGTGACTGTGCAAAAACGGGTACTTCTGAGTTACCATGGAAACTGCTGCTCTCGAGGCCACCGAAGCACCACCCAGTTTAAAAGCAGCCAACTTCTCAACTAGGAGATTTGAAAAGAAAAAGATGCAAAGGGGAGATCTAGACTAACCTCTGGAGCCAAAGATAATTGCAAAAGATTTGCTTAATATTTCTTCCTCTGCCACAAATTCCAGGGTAACGACATCTCCAGCGTATCTGGGCCAAGCTCAAATCCCCCGGACGCCCTTCGGGCAGGAGCTGGGGAGCGACGGAGCCCTGCCCGCCTCGAGGGGCTGTTCCCAGCCACGCAGCACCGCACTGCGGGATCAACACAGTCTCTTATGCTGAAATCTAGCCCTGAGTTTAGAAGTGGCAACACAGAAACCAGGCTCTGCCCCAAAATGTTGTTGGCCCCGCCTGCTGTGAGTGCAATGGCGGATGCTGATGCTCTCCTGATGCTGATGCTCTCCAGCAGCTTTTTACACAGTTTTACAGAAATCACCTCCAGGGAAAGCCCAGTGGCTTGAGCATGAAGAGCTCTGGCTGCCAGAAGATGCCTCAGCATGGGCAAGACCCTCTTTTCCTGCTGGCCTCTGCCATGCCAGTTTAGCTGGTAAGGCCTTGACTTGATTAAGAAGAGAGATGGGAATTCAAGGGTGTGTTGAAGCTGTTGTTCAAGACGGCATGAGTGTTTCCAGCAGTAAAACCGAATGGCAGGAGCCCAATGCAGACAGCTGGGGTTGGGTGGCCACTTGTTGGCTCCACATCACCTCGCCACTGATATCAGTGCCAGTGGATGTGTCTGAGGAGCAGGCAACCCAAAATAAAACTGGGTAGGAGCTGTGCATGTGTCCTGCCCAGAGGGAGACCTCCCAGAACCTCCTGCCTCTGTCAGCAGCCCCT